TATGGCATGCATTTTTATTTTAGCACTATTAGCTTAATTCATTCACAGGTTCTTCAATGAAACATTGGTATTTCTGGGTTATTCTAACGGCATTTAGAGACAACAGGTCAGAATATTTGAACTTGGAACTGTCCCAGAAAACAAGGACATCCTATTACAGACTGTAACCAAGAATATTCTCTTTTAGAAGTTGTGACAACAAAAACGTTAAGTTCTGGCAATGATGTCAGCTCTTAGGGTACCTCCAAAGAAAGGAACATCACTAAATTAAAAAGTCAGCAAATGTCCACTGAATATTGTGCATTTCTTTGTATGTAATTTAATATCAATGTGTGTAATATTTAAAACTGTACAAAATAAAACCTCCAGCTAATGATATGCTTGTTTATGTATTTAGTGGAAAGTATACTGCTGTCCACTATTTTGAAATGCATCAAAACATTTAGATGGATTAGTTGGATGGATGGGAGCTCTGGTGGCGTAGTACCTAAGGCATCTGACTGCTAATCAGAAGGCTGGCAGGCCAAACCCACCAGCCACTCCTCGGAAGGAAAGTTGGGCAATCTACTTCTGCAGTGATACTGTCTCGGAAACCCAAGGTTTGAGTCAGATTCAACTCCACGGCAGTGAGTTTGGTTTTGGTTTTAGTTGGATGGATAGATACATGATAAAGTAAATTTAATAAATAGCTAATAGTTAAATCTAAGTGATGAGTATATGCATGTTCACTGTAAAACCCAACTTTGCTGTATGATTGAAAGTCTTCATAATAAAATATTGGGGAAAGCTGTACTTACATGGCTAAATTTAATGAATACTGACTATACAAAGTAGTAAAAAGTATAGGACATAAAGGAGTCCACCAGTAACTCCTTGGAAGGAAGGTTGGGCAATCTACTTCCATAGAGATACCACCTTGGAAACCCAAGGAGGGTTCGCTATAAGTCAGATCCAACTCCACGGCAGTGAGTTTTTTTTTTTTTTTTTTGGGGGGGGTGGAGTATAGGACATAAAATAGTAGAGAACTAAAAGAGGTATGTGACGATTCTGAATAATAGTATTTCAAGAAATAAGAGTAGGAAAAAAATATTTCCACATTAATATATTTTAAACAACATCATATGGAATATGTATGTGATTGAATTGCCAAATTAAGTAGACGTGACATTCAAGTTGGCAAAAGAAAGAATTCTGGATTATATCTGAGTATATCTACACTTGGAAATATATAGTTCCATACCTTCTCTACAATATCATTAAAATTAATAAAATCATGTTCTGACAGACATTATTTTTGATTGGCTAAAGGAAAGAGACATTATTTTTGATTGGCTAAATGACAAGAATTGTAGAAACATTCAACCAACTCAAGGAAATAAATATTACTATATCCATACTATGTCCATTGCTGTTTAGTCAGTTCTGACTCATAGCAACCCTATTGGGCAGAGTAAAACCACCCCATAGCGTTTCCAAGGCCGTAAGTCTTTATAGAAGCAGATTGCCACATCTTTCTCCACCAGCAGAGCAGTTACAAGTGGCTGCTTTCATTAACAGCCAAGCACTGAACCACTGTGCCAACAGGGCACCTTAAATATTACTGTACGACTACTTACTTATAAAATTTAACTATGTAACTCAAAATTAATAATGCAATAGAAAATCAAAAGTATTGCTGCTTTGGATATAATCACCCATCAATCTTTACTATCCTCACCGATGCTGCCAAAATTCAGAAAAAAATCTTTTACATAGTATTTGTACTGGGTTGAATAGTGTACCTCAAAAATTCATGTCCACCCAGAAGCTATGCATGTGACCTTACTTGGAAATATGGTCTTTGCAGATGAAGCCAACATAAGGTCATATTGGAGTAGGGTTGGCCCTAAGCCATTTAAGCAGGTAATTTGGACAGACATGCACTAAGAGTGCCAAGTGATGCCAAAGTCAGAAAATGAGTGATGCATCTATAAAAGCCAAGGAACACCAAGGATTATTACTGTGAACCAACAAAAGCTAGAAAGAGGCAAGGAAGGATCCTGCTCTAGAACCTTCAGAAAGAGTACAGCCCTAGTAAGTCCTTGGTTTCAGTCTTCTAGCCTCCAGAAGTGTGAGATAATAAATTTCTATTGTTCTAAACCACCCAGTTTGTGATAATTTGCTACAGCAGCCCTAGGAACATAATACAATATTCTAATGCTAAAGATGTATCTGTTAACAGAACAGGGAAGAAAACAGCAGACTACTTCAGTCCCAGTTTTATTACAATATCCAGAATATGAGCTACTAGTGTCCAACTTTGCAACTTATAAAAATTCTGAAATTGAAACTTTTTTAAATAACCCAATGAATACACATTTTATATCACAGTATCATCACCAACTGCCGTCAAGTCGATTCCAAATTTTGCATACCCATTCTATCCCTTGTCCTTCAATTTTAAAGAAAATTTCTCCTTTTAAAATTGATCGTTCCACAAGCACTCTTGATATTCAGGCCCCTGTTTCATCAGTTATTTCTTCTCTGTCATATTCAACTCCTCCTCAGGTACAGGTTCCATGCCAAAAATACATAAAACACATTTAAAAAAAAAAAAAACCTAACCCTATGTGGCACATACTCAAACCAAAAAAACCGAACTCAGTGCCATCAAGTCAATTCCGACTCACAGCAATCCCCTTTGGGTTTCCAAGGCAGTAAATCTTTACAGAAGTAGATTGCCCAATCTTTCTTCCATGGAGTGGGTGATGGGTTTGAACCACCAACCTTCTGATTAGCAGTCAAATGCCTTAGGCACTATGCCACCAGACCTCCTCAATACTGCCTAACTGCTTCCCCATCACAAACAGGCCTCAAAGAAAAGTCATATGCTCTTCTCACTTGCCTAAGCATTCTCTAACTCACAGCAATAAGACAAAGACCTCATGAGTGGGTAAAGACCCACACCAACCTAATCAGACTTCTGGAAGACTCTGCTTACTCATCTTTATAACACCAACATAACTGATTATTCCCATCTTAAAAGATGCTCCTCCACAGATTGTCTGAACTAGCTTCCTTGCCTGGATTACTCCAATAGCCACCTGACAGGTCACCTTGCTCCTACTGGCAACACCTATAAGCCAACTTCCAGTGCAGTATGTTCTGTGGGGTAACACTGTACACATACATAATGGAAAATGGTGTAATAAAGGTTTATCCTATTTTTCCTTGATTTCATCATAATCATTTCCTATTGTTGTCTAAAATATTTCTGTATCTAAATTAACATTTTATGGCTTATAAAAATATCAACTTGGTTCTATAATGTTGTACCATTCAAATCCTTACCATAACTCTGAAATGGTCTGTTTAATATCCTTAAAGATACAAAATACGTTGGGGGGGGGGGGGACTGTGTTCATGTGATAGGAAAAAATAAATCACTTTTATTTTATTTTCTTCACTTGCTGAGCATTAAAAAGTTTGGGGGGAAAATTAGAAAATACATGCATAACCACTCTTAGTATCTGGCTGTATATGGAAGGTAATATACCATAATGTTTTTTTCTATGCTTTTCTTGTTCATGTTCTTTGCCTATTCTCCTATTGGTATCTCTGCTAACCCCCATGTTAGCTGGCTTTGGAGAATGGGAGGCACAAGCAGGTGACTAGGGAATAGAAGAAAGGTAGAAACCAGGGTACTTCTCCCCTACACCCTCCGTCCCCACCACCAGCCCCCACAGAAAATTCTTTAAAACATGTTTAAAATCCCTAATGGGATGTATCCTTAAGGATGGGGAAGTCTTAAAAAAATAATTTTTTTTTAAAGTTATCTTTTTTCCTATCTCTGCATTATCCCATTTCATGTTTACCTACATCACCTGCTTATTCTTCTAGTTAAACTGTACAACAATTCTATCAAGTTGAAAAACAACTGGAATTTTTATTAGAAACATGTAAGTCTACAAATTAACCTGGAAATGACACATAGTTAATAATTAGCCCCATCTTGAAACATGGTGGGTCTCTTCTCTTGTTTTTTCCATCTTAAATCATTTTTTGGATCAACCCTAACCTAAGCTGTAACTCAGGCCAAATGAAAACCCCCTGAAGATGACATGACGCATTTAAGTAGGTTGTAAGGATCAAATAACCTGTGAGTAAAAAATAACTAACATAAACACAAATTTTTAGCTCTGATGGTCTCTAAAGAATCCATAGTATACCAATATACCATTCATCACCACAACCTCAAACTCCTGGTGATTAGAAGGGCCTGTGCAGAAGTTTAAGGTTGATGGCTTACTTTACACCTCTGTGAGGATTTCTGGTGAGAGAATGTATATATTCTTTCAATAAATACTGACCTCCTACTATGAGCCAAGTACTTGATATGTACATAGTATTATGAGTATCATATTAAACAAAAGAGCAAGCTCCTTAGGAAGAGAAAAGGAGTGGCCCAAAATTCCCAATACCAAGAGCAACAAAGAGCCAAGTTGTAGGACAACACAGAAGAAGTTGCCTCCCTGGCCCTCAGCCCATAGGCACCCTTACTCACTGGCCCAGCTGTCTGCTTATAGGGAAGCATGCTTGTGGGAATTCTAACTAGGGATATTTTAATATGTTTTAGCTCTCAAAGAAGTGTAATCCTCTTCTAAAATGAAAGCTGACATTTATCTTTCATGTGTCCAATGTGCCAACACTTTCAGGAATATATAAAAACAGGGGACAGCCTCTAGTAGGAACAAGTGCTCAAACACTTCTTTGTTAACTGATTGTCTGCCTTTGTCAAACCTAAACTTTCTTCCACAAATTAAATTCAATATAATTGCTTTATTTAAAAAATTTAAACACAAAATATAAAATACAGATTTTCCTACTTTATTGTCTTTTATTTTCAGTCTTTTAACTTTTAAAAGATAAACTTGATCTATTTTTCAGCACAGATTGGCATCTGAAGACAAATTAACTGAGACAGTAGGTTTTGAGTCATTCTGTAGGTAGGAACAACTTACGCTAGGGTGATTTCGAGGAGGTACTCGTTCTCTTGGAAGCCTTTCATAGTCATATCGCCCCTCAGACCACATTTCATCTCTTCTGTAAGTCACTAAAGAATAAACAAAAAACCAAAGTATTACAGTTTTTATGTTATTAGCAAGTAATAAAAAAGTTAATGATTACTTTCCAACTATAAATATTTTCAGAGATTCTAAGGAAAAATCCTAAGTGATCAAAAGGAAAAAAAAAAAGCAACTAAAGCAACTCCTGTTCTAAGTAAGTTTGATATTTTCCTTTTAAAAATGTAAAGAAACCTCCACTTTCCTTTATTTTTAAGGCTATTTAAAGCTTCAAGGAGCTTGTTACTACCAATAGTAGGAGGAAGAGTAATAAGACCACACACATTACTTTACTCTCATCAAGAATAGAAAAGATCTATTTTAACAAGTCATTTAAAAGGCAAACCTACTCCTATTTCCTGTGTGGATGGTTTGTGTAACATTAGTTTTTTTGTTTTTATGGGTTTTTGTTTTTTTTCTTTTCTATGTTTGAATTCATAATTTCTCTATATATGTCCACCCAAGTGATAACTGCCCAAAAAAAAAAGGTGTTAAATGAACAATCCTATAAAAACATACACTCAATATTCTTGATCCTTAAGCTCAAACCACTTATGATTTTATTTTTAATGTTATAAATATATTTGAATGCAAAGACATCCTTATAAAACTAGAAATTAAAAAAGTTGTGTTAGAATTTTTCATGTTTGGGATGCAGTGAGAAGGAAGTATATTCTATTCATAAAAGTCAGGAATAGTTCCTACTTTGACTGAGAGCTGACGCTTCCAGGTAAAGGGCTAATACAGTGAATTACAAAGGCCAAGGGATACATAGCTGCAAGACCGTTAACAAAACCGAGTATACAGAAGCTTTTGAAACAGATCTATGAACAGGCAGCAAGTTAGGTAAACAAGAGAGAAGATAAAAATAATAGAACACAAAAACAGTCCTAAGGTCATTTTTACTGGGTTGGCACAGTTTTTCTGTAAAGGACCAGACAATAAATATTTGCCACTTTGACGGCTACATGCTCACAACTACTCAATTCTATCACTGTAGTATAAAAGCAGCCAAAAAAAACAGTTGGCTTCCTGTCAATTCTGACTCATGGTGATCCCATGTGTATCAGAGTAGAACTGTGCCCCATAAAGTGTTTTGAATGGTTGTGATCTTTTGGAAGAATATCACCAGGCCTTTCTTTCAAGATGCCTATGGGTGACCTTTCTTCTAAAGCACTTCCAGGTAGATTCAAACTGCCAACCTTTCAAACCACTTACTAGCAAGTTGATCCCAATTTATGGCAACCCCACATGTGTCAGAGTAGAACTGTGCTCCACAGAGTTTTCAAGACTGTGACCTTTCCAAAGTAGAACACCACACCTTTCTTCTGAGGTGCCTCTTGGTGGACTCAAACTGCCAATCTTTTGGTGAGTGCCAATCATAAAACTGCTTGCACTACTCACAGATGCCATAGATAATACATAAATGTATTGGTGTGACTGTGCTAAAAAAAACTACTTACAAAAACAGGCAACCCACTCATGGGTAGTCACTTATCAATCCCTGGAGTACATAACAAATTGTTAAGGAACAGAACAACAGATAAAAAAATTTAAAAAAAAAACCATTGCCGTTGAGTAGGATCCGACTCATAGGGACCCCCTCTCCTTGGGTTTCTGAGGTGGTATCACTATGGAAGTAAATTGCCCAACCTTCCTTCCAAGGAGTGGCTGGTGGGTTTGAACCACAAGCCTTCTGGTTAGCAGTCAAATGCCTTAGGCACTATGTCACCAGAGCTCCCAAACAACAGACAATGAAGTAATAATGGAGCAGGTTCTGGACCAAAAATTGTGAATCATTCTGGTAAGTGGGTTAAATGATCATGGGAGAGAAGTGAAAATGAACCAGGTACTAAGGAAATTTTAGTACTTAGAAAATGAGGTAACAAATCCAGATATACACTATACAAATCAGTGAAGAAGGAAAATATTTGAGAAAACTTAAAAAGTTTCTGGTGCCACTTTAAGATGAAAAACTAAAGGGGAGAAAAAAAAGATATCCCATTTCAGAAGGGCAGAAGAGTTATAAGATTCTAATAGTTCAGGTTAGATTAAGGGGAAAGGGGGCTGGAAGATGAGAGCAACACATTTTGACACAATCGCAGTACAGTCTTAACTGTCTCTTTGAAAGCATACCTATAATATCCTCTAATACATATAAATGAATAAAAAAGACTTAAGTAGCTAAACAATGATGCTTAGGGGAATCTTAAGAGTTATGAATTAGTTTTTTACATTCAGCATAAATCAACCTCAATTCTAAGTCTACAATCAGACACCATTAACAATGTGTATTTCAAAGCAACTAGACATCTGGGTACAAGAAACAAAGGAAGCATGAAGGAAAAGGAGTTGTGGATGCTATTCTTCCTCTTCTACTTTTACTGAACCCCATTAAAACATTTCTGCCTAAAGGCTGTATTAGACTTCATCCTACTTAAGATACAGTATGGGAGCTCTGGTAGCGTAGTGCCTAAGGCACTTGACTGCTAACCAGAAGGCTGGCGGTTCAAACCCACCAGCCACTCCTTGGAAGGAAGGTTGGGCAATCTACTTCCGTAGCGATACTGCCTCGGAAACCCAAGGAGGAGTCACTATGAGTCGTGTCCGACTTGATGGCACATAACAAGAAGATACGGTATAGAGAAAAAGTAAAGAAAAGATCAACAATAATCTGAAAGACAAATAGTGATGAAGTCAATTCACAAAAAAGAAAATGAAAATGGCTCTTAATCAACTGAAAGATGCTCAAGCTCCTTTAAAATAAAGAAAATAAAATCTTTAACTATATTGAGGTACCATTTTTCTTCCAAAAGCTCTGCAAAAATCAAATCACTTTGCTGAGAGTAGGGAAAGCAACACTGTCATATATTAATGAAAAAAGTATATATTGGTATAAACTCAGTGGGAACAATTTCACAAAATCTATTAAAACTTTACATGCATAAGGTGCATTTTTATTTAAATGCAGTTCTACCTGAAAGTGTACTTGAACATGTGAATCGTAACGACTGAAAACAACCCAAAATGTCCATCAAGAAGATACTAGTTAAATAAACTGTTGTACATTCATGTAAATATTATGCAAACCACTACCAAACGATGTAACACTATTGTAACAATGTGAACCTAAAGGAGAACACAAATAAAAATAAGATTTTTATAATTTAATGAGAAAAAGGAAAAATAAATTACAAGGATTCTAAAATAATACTACATAGTTTTCTAACTAGATATAATAGTAATATATTGAGATTTACTGATTTCTCTTTAAAAAAAAACCACAAAAAATAACTACTATACTACTTACATTAGTCGTTTCAGGAATCAAATTTAAAGTTTTCAACAAACTCTAGTGGGAAGGGGGAGGATACAGACAAAAGGATTTGTGTTTGTACAAATCAATCAACAGAGAGGAATAATTCACTATTTGTATGATGAACATATATTATTTCTAAAATCAGAAAAAAAAAGGTTTTTTTCATTATCAAAAATACTCAGTAAAACTCTCAAAAAGTTATAGGCATTAATAAGCCACACTCCCCCAAAGACAGCTTTGAAAATAGAAGATACTATTTTGACCACCAGAACCACTCAATTTCGTAAGAAAAACAAAACTACACTAAGAAAAAAGAAAAAAAAAAAAAAAAGTCTTAAATTTTGCTAGTTGAAAGCTGGCAGGGCAACTCTCTCATCTCAAAAATGATCACACTAGGTGTTTAAAGTCACTTTTACCTTCAGTATTACGAACACTAGCTTTAAAATATCTCCCCCCCCTTTTTTTTTTCAAATCTGTTGTTGTTGTTGTTATGTGCCATCGAGTCAGCTCCGACTCATAGCGACCCCTCCTTGGGTTTCCGAGGCAGTATCAATACGGAAGCAGGAATGCCCAACCTTCCTTCCGAGGAGTGGCTGGTGGGTTTGAACCACCAGCCTTCTGGTTAGCAGTCAAGTGCCTTAGGCACTATGCTACCAGAGCTCCCTTTTTAAATCTAGCATCCTTAATCTGGAAATCCCTACAGTTTTACATGTGGCAAAAAATGGTCCTATGTTCCAACACAATCGAGAAACCAAGGCAAAAATCACCAAAAGATGACAATTTTCTTAGGTAAAAAGTTTGATGGAGAACTTTTTCATGATTTTGCCCCAAAAAATATAAAGAATACTAAGCAAACTTAGGGAGCTGTGGTAGCGTAGTGCCTAAGGCACTTGACTGCTAACCAGAAGGCTGGCGGTTCAAACCCACCAGCCACTCCTCAGAAGGAAGGCTGGGCAATCTACTTTCCTAGTGATACTGACTCAGAAACCCAAGGAGGGGTAGCTATGAGTCAGGTCTACTAGACGGCACATAACAACAACAACAAGCAAACTCAGGCAAAATAAACAAAAAACAATAAAGACTGAGATGAAAAGTGTAAATCTATGAAATATATACCATATGCCTTAAAAAAAAATAAAAACCTAAGCCTAATCAAATAACAAGCTCTGAGTTTTTACATCTAATTCAAGGGACAGAGGAGTGGCTCTATTAAAAAGATTGTTGTTGTTGTTGTTATGTGCTGTCGAGTTGGACCCAACACACAGCAACCCCTCCTTGGGTTTCTGAGGCGGTAGGAGCTCTGGTAGCATAGTGGCTAAGGCACTTGACTGCTAACCAGAAGGCTGGCGGTTCAAACCCACCAGCCACTCCTCGGAAGGAAGGTTGGGCATTCCTACCTCCGTAGTGATACTGCCTCAGAAACCCAAGGAGGAGTCGCTATGAGTCGGGGCGACTCGATGGCAAACAACAACAACAACAACATCACTACGGAAGTAGATTGCCCAACCTTCCTTCCAAGGAGTGTGGCTGGTGGGTTTGAAGGGCCAGTCAAGTGTCTCAGGCACTATGCCACCAGAGCTCCTTATTCTGCATAGAGATTGAATGAAGTGTCACAAGAATTTGCGGAAGTAAGACTACTTATACTTCACTCCTGATCTAGTTGCC